CTAACGAACCGCTATGACGTCATTTGGGTGCTTTAATAGCTCTATTAGAAAACCAAAAAACGTGCGCGGTAGAAAACAATATTTTGAATTATATCTGTGATAGCGCAAAACTTAAAGCCCTTACTCTTTTTCTGAAATAACTTCTTCATTAGCCATTTTGTAAAAAAAATCGCTGTAGTTAAATTTCCTTTTCGACCATTTAGATTCGGGACAAACAGTTACTGTGGGAAACGATATTTCGTGTATTTCTGTCTCCTTTGGAGCAAAAGTGATCACAATGGGATTTTCTTCATATTTTTTCCATATTTCAAATGTCATAAATATACATCCAAGAAAAGATAATAATAATAGTGTAGCCCAAAAAATTCTAATGTAACAATGATAAATGCACGCCGTTATGCTTATTAAGTACTAAATATTTCCTTACTTACTTTTCTGCTTTACTTCTATGGTCTGTCAAAAAAAAAGGGACGCCGTGTATGTTAGATATTTTTCCGTATTCTTTTAAATATGTAAGAATTTAATAATAAAAATTTTGGTTTTTGACTCTACACTCTTTCATTTTTAGACCGTAACAAAAGCATCTGAACGTATCAGTAATTAACACCAAGTACCTGAATAGGTATCCTTATGTTGTTGTTTATTGATTTGAAGTTCTTGGTAATGTGAAATAACAATTTATCTACATTTTCAATTCAATTATTCTTAAGGTAAATATGTACAATAGCCCCACAAAAATAAATTACGTGTCGATAAATACGTCTCCAAAATGTACACCTCGTAAAAAAGCTAAGTTTTCATTAGCATGTTAAAATGAAAAATTAGTCTAAGGTTATTTACACAGAACTTCCCTCGCCTCTAAGGTACAGTTGAACAAATACAGCTTCTTCATTTTATTTTTTTTTACAATAATCCCCGTAAATTAAAATAAAGAAATATGTGGGCTGTTAAAATAAGGTATACAAACATGCTGTGCGGATGTTTCAATTTTTAGCAGGGACACGTATATTGTTACGTGGTAGGGGGTCGCGACGTTGCGGATTGACGGGGACGGCCTGGTCCCACTTGTCATGCCACCGGCTTGGACCCAGGAAGCCGGGTATTCTGAAAAGCACTGTTTGCGAATTTTTATTTGCGGAAGAATTTCTTCAACGAAATAAAACCCTCGGTTGATGAGCCAGGACGCATTTGATTCCATTGGTCTTGGCTAGAATGTAGTCAATGTGAGGAATGAAACTCAGCTTTTTGTTAGGGGTTTGGGAATATCTGCGGTGGAGATCGCATGCAGTAGGGGAGACAGCGCTGATCCCTGAGGGACTCCAGCGCTTATTGGATGTTCTGCTGATAGAGTGTGGTCTATGCGGGCACGAAACGTGCGGGCGTCAAGAAATGAGTCGATGAGTTGTACCATCGCCAACGGCGCGCCTGTAAGGTAGAGCTTGTAGTCCCCCATGCCAGACACTGTCGAAAGTTTTGGCTACATCGAGAAAGACTGCACCTGTGAATTGTGTCCATTCAACTGATTTTGTTGTGAATTGTACGACCCGAAGAACTTGGTCGGAGGTGGAATGGTGGGGTCGAAAGCCAAATTGCTCGTCGGGAGGGATCCTATATCGTTCACGATTTCGGCAAGCCATTTCCGAGTGACCCTTTCAGCGATCTTCCCCATCACCGTAGAAAGAAGACTGTTGAGGCAATGATTTTGGGGAAAAGACTGATTTTTACCGGGTTTCGGGATGGAGATGACATTGGCCTGTTTCCATTTACCTGCAAAGAAACGAAATTTGAACATTGCGTTAATAATACCTGTCAAGGCGACAATGGCCGCTTCGGAGAGGTTTTCCAGTGCTTTGTTCAGACTCTGGTCGGCACCTGGGGCTTTCCTCGGCTTAAGGCTTCGGATGACGATTCGAACTTCGTCTGGATTGGTGTCGCGGATGAGTTCGTCGACGTATGGTTCTTCCTCTCGAAGATTTTCGACGGTTTCGTCGTCTGCGTCGGATTCGATGTTGGTTTGGCACTGGTTCTCCGGTCTGTCTGCGAAGGCGGCGGTTTTGTCCTCATCTGTGAAAACGATGACGTTGTGCGCGGTGTGAATCGGTGGAAGTGGCCTCTTGTCGCATCTCAGCGCTTTGGGCATTTTCCAGGTCTATGGGTCTTCAGTGTTCAAGGACTCGATTCTTTGTCCCCACTGCTCGTTCCTAAGATCGAGCAGTGCTTTCGGGACTTCCCATTGAAGGCGGTTAGCTACAGTCTGGTCGCCTCTTTCTTCGGTTCGTCGCGCGTGTCGTCTCGCTCTGTTCTTTTCCCCGATTTGATTAGGTTTACGATACGCTGGGGTAAGGTGGGTCGTTTGAAAGGCCGCGTAGGGCGTCGAACGGAGACTGCGTCAGTCGAGGCTCGGATACGGCCCAGAGTTGCTTCCTCGATTTTCTCGGTGCTCTGAAAATTCGTGTCAAAGTCACCACAGTTATCTTCGATGTGCTCGGCAAATTTCTTCCAGTCCATGGTGTGACTGTGTGCGGTGTGGGTTCGTTGGGTTCGTTTCCAATGTCCAATGCCGGGAGATGGTCGGAGTGGAGCTCGTCGACAACGGTTACGTCCACTACGTGGCGGAGATTTTTGACGAGCGCAATGTTCGGGACGACCAAACCCGGTGCTCCCTCTTCCGGAGAGGTAGCTGGACCCCGAGCGACCGCCGCTTCCGATCGAAGGCGCCACCCCCGGTAGCGATAAGGTGATCGCATAAACCTAGGTCGGCCAAACCTGTCACTATTTGAGCGGTACTAGGCGGCTTAAGGCTGGGCACCGAGGCACGCCGCCCCCACGTGTTATTTGTGAAATTCCGGAGCGTCAGCGTTTGTCCCTCCGGAATTTCGTCGCAACATATGTTTGCAATGAAGAAGAGGCGTTGAGGATCGATTCGTAGTCCACGTTTAATAACTTTAAAGTTTACATATCTATTTAATAAAATTTGCAAAAAAAAAACACAGACAACAGATAGATGCAAACAGTATACTGACTTTTTGGTATTCTACAAAGTGTGAAACATAGATAAATCAGATAAACCTATTCAAGCGTTTTTCTTTAATAATTTCATTCCTAAATTTTTCACTAAATTTAGTCCAAAACTTTGCAAAACTATCGTATATTGAGATGTACTCATAACATTGTATACTAAAATAACATATGGTAAAAACACAAATATGATACAAATATTTGGTTAGTCTAAGGCTAGTTCTAATAAAAATTGACTCCTTCATTAAAATAGTTTTACAATCAGCGATACAAAAAGTTTTGTATATATTTTTAAATCTACATAGTATGTTTTTTGCTTTAGCATGGGGGACCTGTCCAGCTATCGTGTATTCGGTTGTTATAAAAAATACGAAGTGTTAAAAAATAGATGATTTCAAAGAGTGACATCAAAGAAAATCCTGTAAACAGACCTAGAAGTCCTCCAAAATTAGATATGAAGTCTGTAGTCCCATAAATTTCCTTTCTTTGCAGTGTCCTAAACTGTTCATTTTTAAAATAAATTTTTAAGTGAGACCCTGGGAATCTAAAATGTATCTTAATTGCAAAAATATATCTAAAAATAAATAATAATTTGTTTTTACATATCAGTGGTTCCATTGCCAAAGTTGTACCTGTCAGGCAGGTCACTTAGAGATGCCTCTATATCGTATTTCAAAATATTACAAGGTGGTTTACAGTTGCAGTGTATTTGTTTTAATCCCCGTATTTTTCTCTCTAATACTATAGTCTTCATTTCCCCTAAAAGTATTCAACATTTAGTAGGTAGGTAAAAAAAGAAGAGTTTATTACTTTCAGCTGTGTCCACACACTTTTGTGTTTTTCCACTACAAATTCGTGTACCATTTTCTCCTTATAAAACAAAATTACATAATGCTGTACATAATATAACCAAAAAGGAACTTACTAGGCATATAAAAATTTATACAACCGCATCTGTTTAGAGTAAAATTAGTGAAACATTCCAGAAAACAATTTGACTGTGTATACACTTGAAAGTATTTTAGATATTTTTCATTTTTTAAATAGCATCCCCTTGTGTCAGCGTCAAAAGATTTTACTCTATCGGTAGTTGTAATTACCTCCGGCTCCACTGCTGCTACTATTGCTTTCCCATCTGGAATTTGGATGCAATTCTTATTTAGTCTGGGAATATCTAGCGGGCTGTGTATTAAAACCTGAAATGAACACAAATTACCTTCACAAATCTCTTTATAGTTTGTACTATGTTTACTTTAAATCCTTGTGAAACCACATCACATGTAAAATCATTATCTGTAGGGGTTAAGAATATTTCAAAAGCATTATCAGCTCCTGACATCATAGCTCGTTTAGGATATACATCTAAACCCGTGTTACTAGTGTATCCATAATATTCATCAAAATTCGAAAACTGGGTTAATTGCCAATTTTTATATTGTATGCTAAAACAATTTGATTAGCTCTATTGTTTATTATCCAACTTTTAAAAGCAAGAGAATTAACGAGGTTAAACAAAATCTTAAGAGTAGTATGTGGAAAATATTAAATATATATATACAAAATAAACTTATATAAGTATTTTTTTCGGACATTGAGTCTAAAAAGGCGTTCGGCATTAATTTCAGTTGTAAATAAAATATCTTAACCACAATTAGCGTGTTTCAAAGATACAATTAAATTTAAGCTGAGGTGCTTCACTAATTTATTACATCACAAGTTCAGTACAGTTTTTACACGTGATTAATTCCTAACGAGGTACTAACTGCTATCAATTTCGGAAAAACTAATGCAACTATTGTCGTGCCTGAACCTGACGAAATCCGGTAAGACTTGTAGATATTGAAATATATAAGATAGTGAAGACTTACATTGTTATACTTACACTTTTTCACGAAACATCTCTTTTCTATCTAATATGTTATAAGTATAACATAGTCCTTGATCAGTCATTATTTCTATAAAAGAACAATTGATCTCTTCTTCCATGAACCAACAGTCGGCTTCGAATTCTGGTTTCAACTTAAAAAAATCAAAATTAAATTGTAGTTTCGTTTATAATTTGATACGAAACAAAAATATACCTCATCAATTATATCAAAAAACTCGCTACCAACGAATTTTGAATTAGATGCGAAGATAGTATGATCGTTTATGAATGTCTCACATAACATGTAGAAAGAATTGACGATTTGAATCCTATAAAAATATAATCAATTATAACGGGTGTTCAAATAAAAAAGTCGTCAACTTGGCTTTGATTTGATGTAAACATTGTGAAGTATGTCTACAATTAACAATTAACCTCAAATTTAATGACGCTGACAACGCGGAAATGTTAATTATATAGAGCAGTATGAATTAATAAATCACGTGCGTTTTTCCCTTCGTTTTCTTCTATCAAAAAAGCAACGCCAACTTGATGACTTTTGTAATTGAATACTAGATATATGTGACAACGTAAAACTAAAGCCCTTACTCTTTTTCTGAAACAACTTCTTCATTTGCCATTCTGTGAAAAAAATCGCTGTAGTTAAATTTCGTTTTGGACCATTTAGATTCGGGACAAACCGTTATTGCGGGAAACGGTATTTCGTATATTTCAGTCTCCTTTGGAGCAAAAGTGATTACAATAGGACTTTCTTCATATTTTTTCCATATTTCAAATATCATAAATATACATCCAAGAAAAGATAATAATAATAGTATAGCCCAAAAAATTCTAATGTAACAATGATAAATATACACGCAAGTAACTACTAAATAATTGCTTACTTACTTTTCTGTTTTAGTTCTATGGTCTGTCAAATAATGAACTCCGTGTATGTTCGATATTTTTCCGTATTCTTTTAAATATGTAAGAATTTTATAATAAAAACTTTGGTTTTTGACTGGAAACGCTATCATTTTTGGAGCGTAACAAAAGCATCTGAACATATCAGTAATTAACAGTAAGTACATAAATAGGTATCCCTATGTTGTTGGTTATTGATTTCAAGTTCTAGGTAACGTGCAGTTAAATAACAGTAATTTATTTACATTTTTAATTCAGTTATTATTAAAGTAAGTTATATACAATAGCTCCACAAAAATAAATTACTTATCCAAAATGCGCCTCCAAAATCTATAACTTAATCACCTCATAAAATTAAGTTTTATAAACTATCTGCTCATGTAAATTACTGGACTTAACATTAGAGTGGCTATTAGTTATCGTTTGCATTGTATAAGTTTTCATTCGCACGTTAAAATGAAAAATTAGTTTAAGGTTATTTACACACAACTTCCCTCGCCTCTGAGGTACAGTGGAACAAATACAGCTTCTTCAATTTCTTTTTACGATAACCTCTATACATTAAAATAAAGATCTGTGTGGATATGCTACAGCGCATGTTTCAAGTTTTAGCAGGAACACATCAATTTAAATAGGTGCAGTGGAATACTAATAATAACAGTACTGCATTTTCAGATTATCGAAAAAACGGGTTAAGTTGTTCTGAATTTGATGAATACAATAAACCGCCTCATTCAATAATTTTACTTAACTCTCTATAGGCAATTGTCATGAATGCGCTGATAAACCACAAGTATAGACTCAATACTTTGCAAAATTTTGAATCGATGTCATCACATTGGTGGTGGTGTTGAAAAGACATATTTTGGTTACCTTTTTAAAATCTGCATCATATTCCTAAAGTAGCACGGGACTTGCAATATCGTAACTCCAACTTGCAAGTGGCACGTTAGTTGTCGTACATAGAACGATAAATTTAGCACACGGTGTGATATTTATGCCTGTTCAGTCAAACATTTATGCTTTTATTTCATCAGTTTTTTTTTTTTACAACTACCGAGATGCTGCGACAGTTATGAAAACTAGGAATTTTGCTTTATTGTACATTGTATATATTGTATTAAAAACCATATAAATATTTCATTCATCAGAGTTATTAGTTAATAAATAAAAAAAGCCAATTTATATTTTTTTCACTAGCAGCCATGACGCATGCAAATGTCGACTCATTTTAGAGGTAGCAAATTCAACTTTTGCGACCACCGGTTCAAAAAGAAAAATTGAGGTTATGTACGCAATGTTTGATGTGATTATTTCTTAAGAAATGAACAAATGTGTGCTACAAACATTACTTGAGTATACGCATGATAGTTGGTAGACGGTAGAAGATAAAATGATTAATTCAGCGACAAGTATAAACGGTTTTCTTTGTGTTGAAGATTTAGATTAAGTTTGATTAGAAATCAAAACAAAATCATGTTGCGTCAAAAAATTGAACGTTTATTTTTTCAATTTATTGTCTTATGGTTTCTACTAGTGAAAAAAATAGTATATTAACCACGCTAGACCTCGCGCTTCAGAGCCCTCGACGCTGCGCGTCTCGGGTCCTAATTTGCGCTCGGTCTAGAATGCTTGACTTTGCAACCTTGGCTAATAATATACTATTTTGCTTGTTGGTAAGATATTTGATTTTAGTTTCTAGAAAGTGTGTAATGAAATAAGTATATAATTGTGTTAGTTTTTATGTATAATTTGTTACATTTTATTGCGTATTTATTCTGGAATACCGAAAACACATCGCACAATTTATTGCAAATTTCAATTTTAGATATGTAACAATGTAATAATTATGGTAACTATTTTTTTATGTAAGTGGACTTTTTATTCATCACGGCCGGACCAAATTCCGTAGATTTTCTCGTTGCAGAAAATACGTAGGGTGCAGAAGTATATTATTTCCATTAAAGAAACAATTGAAAATCCTGTAAACAGCCCCAAAAGTCCTCCGAAATTGGAAATTAGATCAGACATTCCGTACAATTCATTTCTTTCCACTGTAGTAAATTGTTCTTCTTTAAAATATATTTGTAAGACGGACCAATGCGAACTATAATTAACAAAAAGTTACCTTTCTACATTAAAAACAATACATGTATTATCTACCTACCTATTATCTATAATTGTCATGTTTGTATGAGATTCAAAGTAGTCCTTGAAATAAAAGTCGCTGTGTGAAATTTCAACACCAAATTTTAAATTTGTGCAAGATGGTTGACAATTACAAAAACTATGCCCTGATAATTTGGATTTTAATTGGGTTCCTTTCAGTTCACCTATAAATTTTTTTTTGTCCAAATATCTCCGTTTTTATTTTCATACCTACTCTCAGCTCGTCTTAAGCAAATGGAGCTACCACTTCCACATATTGGTGTTGTGTTGTTTCCTAGTATTAAATTTATTCGTTAATCAAATAAATTACGAAGTGAAAGAAGCGTTATTACTTGGCATAAAGAAACGAACGCACCCACATCTACTCAGTGTATAATTTGTTGTACACTCCAGCAAACAGTTTGACTGAGTGTAATACTTAAAGTGTTGCAAATGTCTTTCATCTTGCATGAAACATTTTCTTCTTTCAGGTTTAAATTTTCTGACAGTTTCAGATGTTATTATCATTTCGGGTTCCATAGCTGCGACAACTACTTTTCCGACTGGAATATGAAAATGATGTTTGGAAAGACGAGGTACATCCCAAGGAGTGTGGATTAAAACCTGCAAAAAGTATTCTAAGAACAAAAACGTAACAGAAACATTTAAAATATCTGTGGTAACAAAGTAAAATTAGGTGAAGTAGAGGTAAACATTAGCAACTTTATTTACTTTTGTATATCACTTGAACTTATGTTTTTTGGAAATGTATGTTTAGATACAAGTTTTTGACCAGCCATTATCCAAAGTGAATACAAAAGTCTTAATACACAAAATAAAAGCAATTAATAAGCAAACTGATAACATACAAGGTGTGATCAACACAAACACCAAACTAGAGGACAATTTTTGTTGACTGCAACTTATAAAACATGACTAACAGAAATTAAAAGAAAGTGCGAAGTACTGGAAGTATGAAATAAAATTGTGTAATTAAGATTTTTAAGTCATTGTTTATCTCATTCGGTTGGTTACGCATATTTTTTTCGTAGCCGCCTGGTTTTTGAATTAAACTCACTTCCAACTACGCCCCTTGAAATAACTCCAAATTATTTTCTGGGAAACTGAAACATTATGATGTTTATATAATCCAGAGGAAACTATAAGTATATTTAAAATTCAGAACTACTTAAATACAACTCACCCTAAACCCTTGGAATAAACCATTGCAGGTGAAATCCGCATCCCCTAAATTATATTTAAAAAACACTGTCAATGAGTTATCAGCTCCAGACATTAGAGCTCTTCTGGGATAGGTATTAATACCAGCATTGTCTTTGTATCCTGTTTCCAAGTCAAAGTAGTCTTCAGATTTATTAGGAACGTAATAATATTCGGCGTAATTGAAACTGGAAAAAATCATCTAATTAAATAATGTAATAAACAACATAAAACTTACACATGCTCTCTAAATACTTCTTCTCCACTTAAAATATTAAATGAATAACATATGCCTTCATCTATAATTACAGGAGCAAAAAAGTCCTCGCATTTTTTGAAGGCATAGTTAAAATGGCAATAGGTGAGTAGTGCTGCTCGGTCGAGTTTAACCTAAAATAGAATTATTTAAAAAGAATGTAATTTATAGTATATATATTTTGTTTAAAAAAATTGGTCGCCGCTGGAATACAGTCTAACAAATCTCGCTTGTTTAAAAAAAAATAAAAATGCATTGACAAACCATAAGTTTTACACATTTTACATAGGGTGTATAGGGCAAATTTTTAAGATGGCGTCATCAATTTAGGAGAAGAGATTTATCATCAGTACGATAACTTTAAAACGTTTGCGAAATTTCCATGATTAGATATATTTCTGTTGGAATTTTACATTGAAAACGATATTCCAAACATACAATCGTATAAAATTTGACAACAAACTATCCAGTAGTTTTGCAGATTATTTGTCCAGCAAAAATCAGCACAGACGGCAGACAACAGACAGACAGAAACCGGAGAACTATTTTTTTGTACCCATGGAGTCATGAAACGTCGAGAAAACGTGAAAGAAACAATCGCCCTATAGACCCTATTACGACACAATTTATTAAAGTAGTAAGTAGTCGTAATAAAGAGATGAAAACAAGTTTGTTAACGGAATCGAATCCAAGGATTTAATTGTTATTGTAAATAATTAATTATTTAAATTTTTATAAAAATTATTAGTGCTATTTGTGGATAAACTAGGTGGGCTAGGACGTAGGTTACTTTTTTCATGGTAAAATTACATGGCCATACATTTATTTGAAAAAATTGTCAAATAATGAAACGAAATTCGTGAATTCGATAAATTGGTTCATGTGCCGACAAACAGAAATTTATCAGAAGCGACACGAATGCAAATTGGAGCACTGAAGATGAACGTTGATTTTCTACGTTTATAAGTACAGATAATACCATTACATGGACCTAGAATTCAAATTTTTGCTCTTAAACTTCTGCTTTCACAGAAAACAGCGGTCCAAATATACCAGAATATGCCGAAAAAAATATCAAATCGGTAAGCGACTTATATACGACATTATTTGTCCAGAAAAAAGGTATTTGTCAAAAAATTTTGTTTTGCTAATAGCCCACGAACACCAGATCTTATCAAAAATAATTTGAGAATATAATCTATAAGCAAATAAATATTGTATACATGTTAGAACAAGTAAAAAATGAATAATGGGAAAGATAATAAAATCACTGGAAAAATTGATGTTCACTTACTTCGTCAAATGTTTTAAAAAGTCCTTCATCTGCGGTGTAATTGGCGTGCCTCGAAACAATACTTGTCCCATCCATATCACATAAGAGACTTAAATGAAAAAATTTTTCTTGGCTATAAACCGCTTTAATAAAGTGAAATATTTCGAGGTATTTCTAGTATAATTACACTTCTTGCTCAATTTTTTCGCCTCTGTACAGTCGAAAATACATTTCACTGTAATTAAATTGCTCCCTAGAATACTTCATTTCTGGGCAAATGGTAACAGCAGGAAATGGTATTTGATAAGTGGGTGTATCTTCAGTCGTAAAACTAACAACAACTGGACTGTTTTCATATTTTTGCAAAATTTCATTAATCATATAAAGACACCCAGCCAGTGAAAATAACAGAAGGAAGACCCAAACAATTCTAAAAGTTATAAAAGCAAAATTAACTATAAACGCTTTAAAAATATACTCACTTTTCAGTTCTCGACCTTTGTTCAGCAACATATCGCAGACCGTGTATTCCCGTAATTTCACTATATTCTCTCAAGTATTTTCTTAATTTGTACCAAAATCCTACCTTGTTAGATGAATGCATGCTTGAAACAGACTTATTTATTATTACAGTTTACATACAATACAATTTTTCGCATATATCTTCACTACATAGTGACAGTAATTTTTCTTTTGATTAGTAATTGAGAAGTGTAGGTTTTATTAATACTGAGAAATGAAGTGGAAGGCAAGGTCATTGTTTGCTGCGCCCTTATTCAACGTAAATACATAATAGCCCAGTTATCTATTTATATCATAACAGCGAATTCACACTGGAACTACTCACCTGTTAAATGCAAGCGTTTCTGTTTTTTACTTTTGAACATAAAATTCGGTTTATTGTTAGATGGGTTGCGTTAAAAATAGAATATTGATTGAAACGTGCGAAAAGGTATTCGTGCCGCCCACAACTCATTATTTTGCCGACATGGCAAATGTCATTACAAAGGGGGATGTATATATCCATTCATAATAATAACAGTTTGAGTAAAAAACGTTTCTACAAATATATGCACTCATCAATAAACATCATATACAATGATTATATTACAATTGTAATTTAATTATAATAAATATAATTATATTATAATAATTATTAATAATGTTGTATCTTCGTATTCAATCGCTTCATTGGACTTTTTGATTGCCAAATCCTACACGTGTCCGACAAATCTAACCATGGAGATAAATGTTTAAGTTCTAAAACTAAAAGCAACGTTTCTAATTATTATTCTCAATCTTACATCAGTACATCTAGCAACCTTAAAAAACAGGACTTAAACCCGAAAACCTAAAAACCTATCAACCCTAAAAAAAAGAACTTAAAAACAAGCATCCTTCACCTTCAAGACTTAAATATGCCTGCTCCATCAGAAGGTATCTTATAACATCGGAAGAAATGGTTTTAGACAGAATTATGACTTTTTCAAATGGGTCAGCCTGGTATGGATAGTAATTTTACAAAAGTCCAAGGAAAAGAAGCGACAACATAAAACTTGTATTTACACCAAAAAATAACTTGCAAGAAATTTCGTTTCATCTTGTACACCAAAATATACAAGGTTTGGGCAGTAAATTAGAAAAGCTTCAAGTTGCATTATCTGAAATAAAAACTAGTATTGTAGTACTTAGCGAACATTGGCAGTCTTCTGACCCAATGAAGCTTATTAACTTGGAAAACTATTTATTATGTTCTAGTTTCTGCCGTAACAAAAACAAACATGGTGGCGTATCAATCTTTGTCAATTCTAATTTAAAATCTGCAGATTTACCACAAATTAAAGAAAAATCTATAGTTAATGTTATAGAATGCTGTGCGACAGATAATTTAAATATAAATATAGTTATTATAGCTCTGTCTATACCTCCTTCGGGTGACTTACCTATTCATGGATGTTTTGGGTGACATAGTCTCCATAGTACCTACCTAATAATAGAACAGTTATTGTTGTGGGAGATTTCAATATAAACTTCCTGGTCAGTTTCACCTTAAGAAGAACTAGTCCCTCCCACCCGCCCCTATTTTTCTAGAGGCTATGTGATTTGCCAAATTAGTCTTATCTTCGCAAATATTAGGCCCGCCCACCCGCCCCCTATTTTTCTAGAAGCTATGTGATTTGCCAAAGACCAAGTACTAACAAAAATGAAAGCGGGTGGGTGGGCAATGCTAAGTTTACCTTTTTGCTACAGAGTCTTTTATAAAATAGTAATAGCCCCGCGTACTCACCCTTTATTTTCTTAGAGAGTATGTTATTTGCCACAGTTATTCTCATCTTAACAAGAACTAGCCCCGCCCACCCACCCTTTATTTTCTTACAGGATATGTTATTTGCCAAAAACAGTCCTCTCCCTGTTCTTATTCTAACGATTTTATTTCTGCTAAGTATAAGATCCAAGTTTAATTCAAACTAGATCAAATGAATCGACGAAGTGAAAGCGGGTGGGTGGACGAGGCTACGTTTAACTTTTTGCTACAGAGTCTCTTATAGAATAGTAATAGCCCCACCTACCCACCCTTTATTTTCTTAGAGGATATGTTATTTGCCACAGTCAGTCTCATCTTAACAAAAACTAGCCCCACCCACCCTTTATTTTCTTACAGGATATGTCATTTGCCAAAAACAGTCCTATCCTGGCAAGTACTAGCCCCGCCCACTCCCTCTGTCCTTATTCTAACGATTTTATTTCTGGTCAGTATAAGATCCAACTTTAATTCAAACTAGATAAAATGAATTGGTGAAATGAAAGCGGGTGGGTGGGCGGGGCTAAGTTTAACTTTTTGCTGCAGAGTCTCTTATAGAATAGTAATAGCCCCGCCTACCTATCCTTTATTTTCTTAGAAGGGATGTTATTTGCCACAGTTGGTCTCATCTTAACTTATTTACTGGATTTATTATAAACTTTTAATTTAGTTCAAACTAAATATAACAGAACCAACTCGCAATAAGGCAAGTCTAGATAACATTTTTGTATCTGCAAATAACATCCAGTCATAGATATATACGTAACTTTTGCGAAGCAAATTTATCAACACTTCTATCATGCTCTTAAAAATCACGATTGAAGTGCACTCTATGACACAACTGACACGGAAATAGCTTTTGACATTTTTATGTCTGATTTTAGAAGACTTTTTGAACTAACATTTCCTTTAAAAAAATTAAATACGTTCTTAACGATTCCAAGAAAAAGTGGATTACTCCAGAAATCATGAATCTAAAAAATACTGTCTCACTTTATACAAATCTTAGCATGCACTTTCCCGTCTTTAAGTATGAATTAAAAAAAATTAACAAAGAACACGAACACCTACTAATTAAAACAAAACAGAACTATAACGAAAACAGACTTTTCACCTCCACTAACAAAAATAAAACTATGTGGGATATTATTAGAGAGTGTTTTAATAAAATAAAAATTAAAATGAAGTTAAAATTTCTCAAAATGAATTTTCTTTAAACAATCGAGAGAGTGCCAATCTTTTCAATAAATATTTCTCCGAAACCACTTCTAGTACAATTAAACAATTGAACATAACCAGTGACAATACTTTTCTTTCTAATAATATTCCATTATGTTGCCACCGTCTAAACTTTTTGCCAGTCACAAATTCAGATATTCTCCAAATTATACTTAAGCTGAAAAGTTCTAAATCATCTGGACACGATGACATATCAAACAACCTACTGAAAAAAGTAGAAACCATTATTGCTGAACTTATAGCACATATTGTTAATTTATCCTTAAGTAATGGACATTTTCCCACCGTACTAAAACAAGCCCTAGTAATTCCACTTCACAAAAAAAATGATCGTCCCGTAATCTCTAATTATAGACCGATTACCATTTTACCCAGTATATCAAAAATTTTTGAACATGTGATAAACAACAATCTTGTGTCATTTTTAAATAAATACGAAATAATTGGTCCATCCCAACATGGTTTAACAAATGGCAAAAGCTTAGACACTGCATTGGCAGATTGCCTGAGTGTATGGACAAAAATATTTCTTGCCTCGGATTGTTTGTAGATTTTACAAAGGCCTTCGACTGCGTAAGTCATTAATTAGTGCTTCATAAATTAGAACGCTATGGGATAAAGGGTACAGCCTTACAGTGGTTCCAATCATATCTATCAGACAGAACTCAAAAAGTGCTTGTAAATAGCACTCTTTCTAGAGAATCGACTGTCACTATCGCGGTACCCCAAGGATCAATTCTCGGACCGACTTTGTTCATAATTTTTATTAATGATTTATTAAAATTGGTAAATAAAACGTCAAATTGCACCGTTATGTCCTACGCTGACGATAACAACCTCATTATTACTGGAACAGACGTTAATATTATTATTAGAAGGGCACAGGAAGTATTTTCTCTAGTGCAACAATAGGTCAGTAAAAACAAACTATGCATAAACAATGAAAAACTTGCGTTTACAATTTTTACTAATATGACAAACTTTCAGGATATTACGCTGAATTTAAATAAGTCGAATCTTTATATAGATCAATTATGCTCGAAATTATCTTCGGTTTGTTATGCACTCAAGAATGTAGCGAGACAGTGCAATTATTTTACAGAAAAACAACTGTACTTGCTTGCTTTCAAAGTCTTCTAACATACGGCATCTTTCATTGGGGGCACTCTCTTGATTTTCAACGAGTTTTTATTTTATAGAAATGGGCAATTAGAATCTTAGCCGGAATTAAAAGTATACACTCTTGTAGGCCCGCCTTTAAACAGCACGGAATCTTAACATTACCAAGCTTGTATATCTATGAGATTTTATGTTACACATATAAAAATATTAACAAGTTCAGTCAAACTCGAACAGATCATGAATACAATACTAGACACAAGAAGTTGTTATTGCCAACTCAACACGAAACAACCCATTTTCAAAGAAGTTTACATTTCAATTGCTGCAAGTTTTTTAACAACTTGGACTATAAAATAAAAGATGCACCTAATTTGCGGACGTTGAAGGCTAAATTAAAAATATATACTTTAGATAGAAATTTTTATGATTTTGATGACTTTCTAAAGAAAGTGTGTAGCGTTTATTAGTTCATTGCAAGTATAAGTTATCGTGTAATATGTAGATACCATCTTTTGTTTTTTGCACTATTTTGGTGGTATATATTGTTGTGTTATCTTATTTTGACAATCCCTTCTTAACTATGTGCTGTATTTTGTGTATAATATTTTCTGAAGATAAATAAAGTATTATTATTATTCGACAGCAATATATTAAAGACCTAGTCGGTAAATCTAGATACTGGTGATATAAGACTGTCAACTTCTTTCTAGTATTACTAAATTATGTAACTTAATGCTTTCTGGCAGAGTCAACGAAGATATTATTCCCTTTCTTTATGCTGCTTCCCTTTTATCCACTTGCAAAAAAAGATGGTGGCATTCGACCAAGCTGTAGGTTCAGGCGTTTCGTCTCTAAATTATTGCTAATGCGTTTCCTCACATTTGTCTGCTGTTTTCTTTCTTAAACAACTTGGTGTTTGTATTAAAGATGGTTGTGAAGCAGCAGTTCATTTTGTAAGAACCTATCTCCACAATAGCTGTACTGCAGAAGTTGTTTTAAAGCTAGATATTAAAAATGTTTTAATTCTGTTGAACGTGCTGTACTTTTAAACTCGGTTGCAAGGAAATTCCTGAAATGTAAAAATTGTATTCTAC